ATATTTGATGTTTAATTTTAGTGTGGTTTAAAGCTTTTATCCCAAATTTGGTGAGGATTTGAGAACTCCGTGAAACATTCTGTGATAAAAATTAAAGAAGATTGCTTAAATTTGGGGTTTTAGTAAAATTGGTGTTTGAGAAGCTGAGTTTCAATTCATTGAGCCAAAATTTTGTTCAAAGTTAATTTTGTACTAAATATTGAGTCTACTGCTGTTTGGAAGGAAATTAAAATGAGAAATACCCTTCGAAACTCCATCGTTGAGGTCGACAAAGTTCTAAAACTTAAATAGAGAAATTCAAAGCTGGAGAATTAGAGAAAATTGTTGTTTATATCTTGAGATTTCACTTTTTTGGTTGGTTTAATGATGGTTTTGCTCTTGTGTTCTAAAATGGGTGTTGAGAAATGTACTGTAGGTGTGTTTGGAATTGTAAAAAGTAAGAAATCAATTATGTCAATTTCAAAAAAGTCATATTTTCCATCAGTACATGGACAAGCTTGTATTTTGCTCATATTATAGGTTTTTCTCTAAGTATTTAAGGATAGCATAAGATAATAGTGCATGTAGTCAAACCATGAACTACATAAATGCTAATCTATATATTGCATTTCATGATCAAAGGCTTATGTGAGGCAGATATGATTCAAATATTTAAAGAAACTAAGTTCATTCTATGTGGCAGAGCAAGTATGAGAAGCCCTCAATCAGTTAAATAAGCACATTTTCCACAAGCTTTGGTGTATGTTTCATTGGTCATTAACATCCAATACAAAGGCGAGTTTTTAGGAAATGAGCAGGTTCATGAATAAAGGCTTGTATAATCTTAAATTTCTGGTAGAACTGTTCCATATGGAAGGAAAGATTTTATTCTCTTATCTTAATGATTGGTGTGACTGGAGAAGAGAAAAGTATGTTAGTGTTAAATTAGTTTTAAACCTCTGGCTGCAACTTTGTGTATGAAAATGCTATTCTTTTTCTCATATTACAATGAATGAACAAGTTTTAGGTATGGATGTAGTTTTTGTCCTCTACTCAATTCTTGTTTTACACTGTGATTAGTAGTGCCCTTAAAATGGAAAATAGTTCATGGAAGTAGGACGAGGAAAATATTATTAGTTGATGTGATACGTACCTATGGAATTTTTATGTATCAATATTAACTTTTCAATTGTGAACTAGAAATTTTAAGGCCTCGAAAATGAGTAAAGTTGTTTAACAGAGAATAGTATTCAATTGTCTCATTGTTTATAGGTGCATATAATTGGTACTACTTTTATGTTGCTACATGGGTGATTGGATTTTATCTCCATATTGTACAGAGGACTGTGAGAAGTTTAGTTTTTTATATACTTCAATCTGTTTTGTGTCTTTATCTTAATCATACCAATCAAAAATAACCAAAATAAATCCTCTTAAATCATGCAATTTTATTATTGTTTTAGATTTTGACTGATGAATTTTATTACTTTTAAAAAAAGCAACTGATTTATGTATTCTCAATTTTTGCAGCTCGCTGAAAATGGTGTTGTCGTAATATCCAATATCATAGTGTGTAGATGATACTATGTGAATAGCCTTCAAGCTTCATCATCTCTTCAAGCTAGTTTGAAAGACTCTACAACTAGTTTCTTATCATCTGAATTGGCTTTTTTTTTGTGAACTTAGAGGAGCCGCTATCAATTCAGGTAACTTGACGGTATCTACATGGATCTTATTTCTTATTCTTGAAAATTCTCATATGTTTTTCTTGATATATTTTGTGACTTACTAGTTTGGCTATGTCCATTTATTGGTGAAAGGTATATGTGTATAGGTTGTAATTCGTACTCCATAAATTGTCTTACTTTGTTGGTAAAAAAATATGTGGAAATGTTGTAGTTTTTATATGGTACTTGTATTAAGTTGATTGTAAAAGGTGTATGAATTATTGTTGTTTGTATATAGAAATGAGGGACAATTGTTTTTATTTTTGTAAGTTGTTTGGTAATTTTTATAAAATCTTCCTATTATAAGTTGCACCTTACTGTGTCTTTATGGTAGAAATTATACATTAGTGTATCTTTATGATAGCAAAAAGCAAACGACTATATATAGACGTAACTGCAGGCTCTTAATTCTCTTTGAATCATTTGAATGACTCTCCTAATTCATAATAAATAAGGGGAATCCCAAAAGTCTTTAAAACTACTCATGATATAAAGCTCTTTGTTGTTGGTTGACATCATTCTATCGCAACAATGGCTAAAATTATAAGAATAGGGGATGAAATAGTGATGTTGAAGCAAGGCATCTTCTCCTTTTTGAAGGAAAAAATATTTGGGCAACAGTAGAGAATTTTCTCTTTTTTTATTTGTATAATAGGCTGAAATGGAGAGTATTGAAACGCAACAAAGTGAAAATGGTGATGAGTCAATTAATGAATTTGCATCAATCATGGGACCCGAACATCCGGAACGTTTGAGATTGTATGGGCGGGGGGTTACAAAAACCTTTTTGAAAGGGAAAGTGGGACATTTTGAACCCTCTTCAAATGCAACAAATGATCACATGCAAAAGATGGAAGAGAGGATGATAAGATTGGAGGAAAAAATTGAGGAACAGAAGGAACAATATGAGGAACAAAAGACAATGATGAGACAAGAAATTGTAGAAGATATCATAGCAAAACTTCAACGTTCTGGATTACCAATTGATGCTAATACTTTAGCAACATTGTATTCTCGTCCATTGGGTCAAGCTTCCT